TGTCATAATTCCTGCAAGTCATTTCAGCATTTGTGATTCCCAGAGAAATTATGGCTGATGAGTGAATGGCTGTGTTCATCATCGTAGAGAAGACTCCTTGGGGGTGTGGAAGCAACCTTGTCAGGGCAATATCGCCTCCTGATTGAATCAAGTCACACGTCCATGAACACATCATGAACACCACAGAATTATTACAGTCATGAGCAGGACACTTTGGCATTTAGCTGACAGTGATAGAGTTTAATACCTTTTGCGCTGCAGACGGTTACGTTACTGAATGTGACACGAGTCTGTTTGTTAAATTAATTAGGAGAAGTGGATTCACTTGTACGCTCCACCTGTTGTCTTACTTCTTCATGCAGGTAGAATCAGATGGTGGTTAGCAGAGGGCTAAATAAAGTGTCCTAAAGTATCAATTTATCAATCAAGTCATAACATTTTTTTATCATGAAACACCTCACAAAAAGCAGGTAAAGGACTTATTCATTGTTATGTGAACAAAATAAAAATGGGGGAAATGGAAGGGTGGGGGAGGGATAGTCCCAAATGATAAAATGTATAATTTTTTATTCTAATTTTGGTAATCAACTTAAGAACAAACTGCATGTATTACATGTAACTTCATATTTGTTCCACAAAAATAGCATTTATATCAGAGAGAGAAGAAATATTCCAAGGTTTCCAATACCTTGCCCCCATAATTTATAATATAAGATATGACTCACTTTGTGTTACAGAGAGCTTCGAGGGAAAAGGATTCTTGAGATGAAGCACGGGGCCTTGGGGGTGACAACCAGGGCATGATTGTCTGCTCTGCCAGCCTCCTCTTCTCTGAAAACTCTACAGAAACTCAACCCCACCCAGCCATCCACAGCTAACCAGCTGAGGGAGAAAGAAAAATCGGCAGTATTTTAAATGTCTGCTTTTTACAATTCATCACCTCCCTCCAACGGCAATCTGTGCAGCTAAGCTATCGCTCCCAGGAAGAAGAAGTGGGATTCTTCCATCAAACTGTCTGGAACAGTAAGACGCTATTCAACACAGCTTCTATCATTCCTGCAGAAAGGACTTTAAATAGATCTGATGGCATTAAGAACACGCTTTGCTGTCATGCACGTAAAAAAATAAAAAATCAGACCATTTTCAAGTTAATGATCTGTAAAATCTGTAAACTTCTCGAGTTCAGCTGAGAAGTCATGCAAATAGCGGTGATTATTTAAAGATTGAAATCAATTTACACTGCCAGCATTGAAAACTGTCCAACAGGCTCATTATGACAGCATGTTTCCACACTATTTTTAAATATCATAGTGTAAGGATACACGTCTGAAGCACCTCTGATTACCAGAATACACTCAACAACGTTTATGAACTGATTTATAGCTTAATTATGCATGTGTGAGGTTAATGGGACAAATTATTTTTGAAAGGCTGAGAAACAGCAAAACGATTCACCACCATAATCAGTAACGTTTATGACTGTAGGCGTCTGTTGATTTTTGAGAAGGAGACATGTTTCTCCTCAATTAGTAAAATCACACATAATTTTGTTGTGAATAAAGACTCAGAAGGCCAATTAGCGGTAATTTTAATTTCTAGAAGACAGTGTTGAGAGGCAGATTGCACAGCTTTATATCAAGTTTGGTGGAATGATGTGGCAGATCTTTGCAGTGCCAAATAAGAAACGTGTCTCGAGGACTCATGACAACATCTCAAACTGTATCTTTGTTTTCTTTGCATAGTGTAGTCTGAAATATCCGCTGAGATATGTTTGAACAAGAGCCATCTGATGTGCTCTCTGGATTGGATAGCGTTGGATGGAATTAAGACGACGAAAGCAAAAGTTTGATGTTGACAAGCATGGCAAACACAATGCCCCACTACCCCACTTTTGGGGTAGGCAATATGGAAAAAATATCATAATACAATTTTTTTTTCATGTCATGATCACAAAGGCAATTTTTCACAAGTTTTTTTTGGGGTCTTTTTCTTTTTTGCCGTTTTTGCCGTTTTTGCCTTTATTTGATAGGACAGCTGAAGTGAGGCAGGTTGGGAGGAGAGAGTGGGGGATGACTAGCAGCAAAGACCCGAGGTCGGATTTGAACCCACGACCACTGCGACTTCTAAGAGCCACAGAGGTAGAAGGCTAAATGACAGATGATACACAGATTTGAACACCGCAGGATGGCCCAAGGCAAGCTGGGAGCCACAGACAAGCAGCCTTAGACAGTAGCACCGTCACTGTGAGTGCATACTCAAGTAGATTAACTCTGAGGGACTCGTATATCAGGCATGCACAAATGCTGCCTTACATGTTCCACTCAGGTACATTTCCTGACCTTTTTTTCTTATTATTCATAAATTGCCACATGCACCTGAGCAAGAGAGAGAGAGGTCCCAACCTTTAGCTCTGGAAACTTGCAGTGAAGCTAAAGGGGAATCCACAGAGAAGAGGTGAACGTATGTCCTTATATTCTGTGTCCTTATATTCTGTGTCACGATGATGTGCACGATGATGTGCATCATGTACTTTGCAGGATGTGGCCATTAAAACTTCCCCCTGCTTTCGTCCCATCTACATTTTCACACACAGAGGCAGCTCCGTATCCTGCTGTGAGTCTAATCTCAGTTTACAGCCCACTGCATGGCACGAGTCTTGCAATGCAACCTGAAAATGGATTATGATAATTCCATAACTGCCATGAAAGCAGAAGGAGTCGTGCAGAAACATCAGTCACCTCACTTTAACCTCCTGGGGAGGAGCACAGCGGGAGATGTCTTGAAAGATCCACTAACACAAACTTCTGAACAACCCTTCATGTTCCTCTTTTCTCCTTGTTATTTCTCTTCTGCATTTCATATAACATTTATTTCATAGCCTTCCTTTTCCTTCATTCTAAGTCCTTGTTTTTCATCTCACTCCTTCTGTTGTCATAAACAGTCTACACACGGCAACAACAACTTTTTGAAATGGTTAAAAGCTTTATGACAACATTAAGTCCTGTTGAGGCGCCTATTGTTAGACCACAATGTTGCTGACAAAATACAGCACATAAAAAAACTCCCAGCTTCACATAAAAGCAGAACGGATGCTGAGCGACACGGCATCTCATAGTCTCAAGCTGTAATAATTCTCAGTGTTGTGATGGGATGCTATTTTCCACTCCAAAGGGCACAAAAACCCACCATGTACCAAACAAAACACTCTCTCAGTGAGCAAGTTGAAGGTCCTTATTCCAATAAAAAACTGTGAGGGAAGATATATAAAGAAATAACCTCAACACTATTCTCACAGCAACGTGATAGGCTGTTTGGACAAAGTCAACAGCAAAGCAATGTCAGGGACAATGAAGTGTTTCTAAAGAGAAGCAGAAACATGTGAAATGAATTAAATCATATTAAAATCTATTGTAAAGGTCAACGTCACTATTACTCACTATTATAAACAAACAAATGGAATACTAAAAACCTCTAAAATGAGAAACCTTAAAACCTTAAGAATCATACTTTTATACCAGAAGGCAAATAAGAGAATTTCCCAAAAGGTCAAGTGTCTCTGCAGCCGCTGGATTTATTGTTAAAAAACAAGTTTGTAATTGAATTGATAACTTGATTATTCAGGGAGCACATGAAGAGATGAGGTCACTGCTGGAGACCTTTTTAATGTATGAGAAAGAAAAAAAAATGCCTGGTTAAATCCCCCTGAATTGCTCACTTTGAGTTGTCTTCTATTTTCTTGTTGAACACATTGGTGGTTATGAGCTCAGCACCTCTGTGGTCTGACCCGGGGTTGATCCTCAATGGAACTCATTTGGACTTTAGGTGCTTAGCAGTCTGATTGGATTCACAGTTTATAAACTGAGCTGCTTTTCTCAGGGTTGACACGTACCTATGTGAGCAAAGGAGCGCTAATAAATTCAAACATCAAACTCCCTGCTCCTGTAATTGGATGGGATTAGTCTGGGCTGAGAGAGAAGCAGACCTAAACACGGCTGAGCCACAGACGCAATTTGCATAATTTAAAACCGCGGGGGGTTTGAAACAAGTGTTTGAAAAAAAGAAAAACAAACAGGAGGGATTTATTTAGGATGAGTTCAGGTGATCAACGAGACACAGAGAATTCAGTGTCATGTTCAGTGAGATTTGATTGTTATTTATATTCCAGGGAAGAAAGTGTTGATATCATGAAAGAAACAACATCCTAGAATTGGAAAAAAAAGGATCCTGTGAAACAGGAATGAGTGGTTTGAGTGTGTCTCTGAAAAAGATGATAAGGTAGATACACAGAGAAGACAGAGTACACAGAGTACTCGAGTACTATTTTATATTTTAGCATTTAGGCAGATAAAGGATTCTGGTATTATAAAAACGTAGATACGCAGATAAAGCTTAATTTAGTATTGTAGATTCAACAAAAAAAAACTAATTTTACTAAAATTCATAACGACAAATACACGAAGAAGGATAGAGTTTAATAGGTTTGAAAATAGTATTGTATTTTTCAAACATCACATGATGTTTTTTAAACTGAAAACACAGGCTACTGAGTATTCATATAGCTCTGCTTGACCTAAGCTGTCCTTCAGATGTGTCCCTCACAGAGTGTTCAAGTACAGCTCTAAAAAGACAAGGTGTATAAAAAACTCAGCCTGATCTTCTGAAACCACCTCTTCAACCGACACTTGAACATAAACCCATCTTTACTGCTTTTCCCGTTTCAGCTGTAATTGGGCTGTTTGCCAGTCAACACAGGGCAAATTTAGAGTCACCAATTGACCTAACGAGCATGTCTTTGGACTGTGGGAGGAAGAGGTGAACAGCATGAAAACCTAAATTAAAGATGGCTCCCACCTCTAATTGGTCAATGGTTATCTGACATAGACCACTAAGCAACATCGTGATCCATCACACTGTGTTTCACTGGACCCTCCTCGACCCCCTACTGCATGTTGATTCCCCGCTCTCATCTTCACCTCCACCCTTCAAGCTGCCTGTCTGACCTGGCTCCATCCTTCCCTTCCTCTATACTCAGTGTGGCACCCTCCCTCGAGCCCATCTACTGTATCTGTGCTCCATTTCACTCTCTCCCTCTCTTTCTCCCCTCTCTCTTTGAGTATTTATCTCACCGCCTGTGCTCCAGTCATCCCGGCAGCAGAGAGGAGAGACAGAGAGCTCTCTCTCCCCCTGAGCTGGTGACCCTTGTGAGGGGGGACAAACTGCCCACTGCTGCTCGGCTACACAACTGGAAAATTAAAGACTTGTGGGGGCGAGGAGGTTCAGCGTGTCTGTATGTGTGTGCATGTTTGTGTGTGATAGAGTGAAAGAACAATCCCACCTCTTTCTCTCTCCTCTCATTCATTTTAATTGCCAGAAGTGTTATTTCTCCATAAAGCCAACCCTGAGGTGTGAATGCATGTCTAAACTGAATGTGTGTGGTTCTTGGAAAAAAAGGAGGAAAATAACAGAACATGCTTTGGACAATGACAGGAAGCTTGTTATTCTCAAAGCAAAAAAAAAACATACACAGCACTGTGAGAAATACAATGCACACACACAAATGACTTTTTCTAATTTGTCTTTAGACTGAATACTATTCTTACAAAAAAATAGGAAACACAGCACCAAGCCTTCTTCCCTTCTCTATCACATCAAACCTCTAGAAACTGCACTAAACCTGATCACAACATCTACTTAACAGATCTAATCTAAGGCAAACCTCACACAACTCGACCGTCCCACAAGCCAGCCTCTCTTATCCAAACCACACTGACAAAAACTCGACTCGGCTTTACTCAAGAACATGACGGCCAATGGGGGGACTAAGGCCAATGAACTCTAACGCAAATGAATGTTATCCAAGTTAATCTACTCAGAGTGAGCTGAGCCAGGACACAACTCATTCTCGAGGTCAGCTTCAGCGTCATCTGTTGTTGTAGAGACAGGGTGAGGCACACAGCTCACACATACAGATGGGAGACAGCTGAAAAGGAATCAGTATGTTGTTGTGTCACAACAAGCCACCAGAGAAGCTTTAAAGATGCTCTGTATTGATTTTTAAAGTCTATGGGACTCATCTGGTGGGGTGAGAAAACAATTTCTTGATTTGATTGTATTGATTAAATAATGGTAAATGAATCTCAATATACAGATGCTGTGATTCTGTGGACTAAGGACCAGATTTGATCAGAAGGGCATTTGAGTTTAATTGGCTAAGAGTGTTTTTCACAGACAGTATGCAGAAAAACAGTCTCAATTGTTTATCTTTAATTCAGCTCTAAAAACAGATATCTGCATTCAAGTGCAGATAATAAATTCATCAAAAATCCCGATGTTCATACCAACTCACACAAGTCCCACAGAGGGAGATTGGAAGAGAGTGATTAATTTCTCATCAAATCCTGACGGTGTGACAGAAAGAACATCCTGCCTGTCTCAGTGTGCTTGTTTTAAGCACACTACCATCCTCAGCTCTCACCTGGAGTTTTGAGCAGTCTGGACATTCGACAGCTGTAGGTGATTTGCTGCTCATAGCTTTCTGCACTGGTGGTGATGGCTGTCATCTGGAAACAAGCACACAGATGTGTGTTTTTTATTTTTATAAAACCAATCAATCTACAGTATATAACCAATAAACTGAAAGATGCATTCTGTCTAATCTAAAATGGAAGTCTTACAGTAAGAGAGCCTCCCAGTGTGTGTGTGTGTGTGTGTGTGTTACCTGGTCCATGGAGGTGCTGTAGTTCACCTGTAGGACTGTCCGCCTCTCTCTACTGGAGCCAGTCACTGTGGTTTTTGGAGGCAGGTTGTTCATCACTGTTATCCACTTTCCTCAACACACACACAGACACAGAGAGACACACACACACACACACACACACACACACACACACACACACACACACACACACACACACACAAAATTCACTCAGATCATGGTATAGAAACACTCGTGCACACATAAACGTGCAGATTAGCTGTCATGGCGGTGAAGTTATTTCTGTGTGATCCAGGTAACAGCTCAGACTCCAGGGTTTAATCGACACTGTCTGTGCTGATATAACACGAACCAGTCACTCAGGCATCATCCTGCTCATTTACACTGTCACAACCGTGTGTGTGTGTGTGTGTGTGTGTGTGTGTGTGTGTGTGTGTGATTGTGTGTGTGAGGACGACACACTCTCTCGTCACATTTGTGAGGTGTGTGTGTGAGTGTTATTCAGTGAGACTAAGGGGCCAGCCAGCAGAGTGCAGTGACATGTCATTAAATGTCTCGCCTTTGCTCTGCCTGCGTGCTCTGATGCTCCACATTATCTAGTTATCCACACTCTGTGTTAAATATGTGTGTGTGGGTGTGTGTGTGTGTGTGTGTGTGTGTGATAGAAGTGTCACTTTGTGTCAGGTTTGGAGCACTCTTTTGCATTACTGGTCCCTTTCATTTGTGATTGTGGTACATGTGTGTGCCTACAGTATGTGTATCGCTTTAGTGGCTGCATTAAATGTCAGATGCTGAAACTATGTTGCCATGGAAACCCCAGGTATTGCAGCTTAAGAGTGCTGTTGTCCAAGGTCAAGGACAAGGAGGGCTGGAGTTTCTTTATTCACAGGTCACTGAGTCTAGAAACAGTGGTACTCACACACACATACACACACACATACGTAGATGTATCAAAAATAAAGGAACACAGAGACAGAAAAGCCATTTCCTTCCCACCCACACACACCTGTCATGTTGCAGTTGACTTTAAAAGCGCCGAGTGGTCCGCTGCCATTAGGGTCGATCCAGTAGATGTCAGAATATCTCCCCAAAAGCGTGTAGGCTGTTTTCTATTGGCTGAGGGAGCTGTATGCCTCCTGAAATCTCTTCCGGGCGATATGTGTCTGACAATGCTTTCCATGTGCACAAAGGAAGAATGTACACTTCTTACTTTAAAGCGGCTTAACTTGTTATTTCAGGTGCTGCACCATTATTAAAACAATTTTTCATTAATGTACTAAATTCCAAAACCACAACTTATGGTTGTTAGATAAATGACCAGATGAAGATGAATGAACTGAAAACTGAACAGAATAATTAGATCAGAATCAGACGCATGCTTTTGTTTAAACATCAAAGCAAAAGAGCAGAGGAAGATGACCATAAATAACCAAAAACCTATCCTGTAAAACAGCCTTCTGTAGAAGCAGACATCATCCTTGACGAGGAACAACAAACCTGTCCGCTGCTCGTTATTGTCACTTTTTGAAGCAGTGAACCTTCATCAGCCCTTTTGTTTTAAAGTGTATCCACAAGGCCTGTTAGCCTTTATATGACTATATATTTATAGTGCTAAGGCTGCAATAGATATAGGACATTAAGGCTTTACTATATACAGGACCTTTATGAGATACAAGAGTCAATGGCCCATCCAGAGGTAGCACGGGGCCTTGACTGAAATGGGGACAAGGCTAGGACAAAACTGTGCGTGTAATGGTGTGTGTGGGAGAGTAGAAGTCCATGGATATATCGTAGGTGTGTATTCTACATGAACAAATCTGTGGACATGCTTTGTTTACATCTGTTTACAGTAAACATGTGTGCACATCTGCAGGTGTTATTACAGGACACATGCACAGTAAGACAAAGGAGATGAGCGCCTGTGGTTTAATCAGAGCCACAGACACTCAGGTCACTCATAAAACACCGTCTCTCAATGACATCTCCATCAGCTTGACGCTATAAGCTGTCACACTCTCCAGCATACCTGTTAGCCTCGAGGCCAATGCATCACAAAGGCTTGTTACAGAGGGCATGAGTGTGTTTATGTGCCTGAATGACACGTCAGCCAGTAAAGACTCAAAGTAAAATGTGTGCTCCAGTGTGTGTCTTTGTGTTGGACTCATACCTCTCTACCTTTAAAATTCTCATTTTCTGTCCCCAAAAATCCCCCTGTCATCACTGTCATCTGCCTCTCCTCCTGCATCACCTGCATGCTGTCTTTCCAGAGAAGAGGGGAGAACAGAGAGAGGAAGAGTGAAATGGAAAAGAAGAAGATTACAGCTGGTTGGCAGCAGTTTGTGTCGTGCAGATCGCTTGTGAATGCAAAAAAAAAAAGAAATGCAGCAGTCCTGACCTCTTGGCAGAACAAACTGAGCAATGCGAGGATTGATTGATGAATGGATGGAAAACAAAGACACATCTGCACCTTTGAATGGTTCATTTAACTTAAAAGCAAACAAACAAACTCCTAGATGGCTCAGTTGATGAGTAACATTATCACCTTATCGCATTAAACATTTCTTTTTTTGTTGTGATTTCAATGTTTTCTTTCAAAATAAAAGCAGGTTTCTATCCAAACAGGAAGTAAAATATCCCTAGCTTACGACAATACAAACATACAAAATAAAGGTTTAAAAAAATGTTTTTGAAATGTAAAATGATGGAATTTGTGACTAGATTAAAATTGCAATGTATCAATAAACAATTGGATATCAGCATTTCATATCAACTGAAAAAAGTGATTATTAGACAGCCCTAGTTTAGACTTAAGAATTGTAATTGATGGGAAATGACCACATGACTGATACCCTTTTACTGAATTTACAAACAGGTAACCAAAAGTTATTCAAAGATGTCACAGCTTTTATACAAAAGTTATTTGATGCATATTTCTCATATTTCAGAACCGCATTAATCTTCATGTACTCATCATTTAAGCAAATCAAATAATTCCTGGAATATGGGAGACATCTCTGGACGAGTTTTCACAGGACACCCTGCAGCAGAACAGTTTCAAAGCTAACCACATTTGAGCAGTTTTTATGTTATTTTTATACCGAGTGAATAAGTTCACACTACATGCACTTCCTCTTATAGTAGCATGGTTTAGCTGTAGTCTATTTTGTTGGCAGTAGCAGTGTGTTTTTTTGCCTAGTGTGTCTGGTTCAATATGTGGTCACTGCTCAACAACTGCTGCCAATGAAAACAGCAGATTGATGCCCTGAAGCCATGAGATCTGAAGCAGATGGCTACCTGGAAGACTTCATTATAAACGACCTGAAGCTTTGTTCTGTATATAAAAGAACATAGATTGAGAGTTTTGTGCTACTGTTATCATGTCACGCTGACAGATGAGTCGCATTATCGTAGAAAGTGCAGATGGATATCTGTTAGAGAGTTTTTGGACAGCTTAATGTGTTCGGCCTCTCTAACTCATCAAGCTGTGATCAGAGAGAGGAGCTGAGGGTGAGCCACAGGCTAAACTATCTTTTCAACTCTCTATATTAATCTGTAACCTCTGCGGTGAAATGGAAATACGATAATTAGATCCTAAATGTGATGTGGTGTAGTGCTTTGAATAAATTCAGCATATTCTGCACAAGTTTAAAGTTCAATGTGCAGTTCAAAACATGTTCAAAAACATCCACAGACAGCTTTAAGCCCTCACATGAGGTCACAAAACCATAAAACAAAGATGGAACAGAAAAAAGGGAGGGGGGGGGGGTGGCAACAAGCTACTGGAAACATGAATTTTCTTCAGAAAAGGGGACCACAAGTCAGATTGTCTGGATTTAGCCCCTTGTATCTGTACTTTTTTTGTACCTATCTTTTATCTGTCTCCCTCTCTCCAGTTTCATTCATCCTTTCTCTCACTCTTTGTCTGTCTGCCACTGTCTTCTTGAATGGGTATATACATTACACATTTCCTCTCCTCCCAGCCACAATTAATCCAACCTCAGTTTAGGAAAATCAGTGAATGAACAATTGAGGGATGCTAAGAGGGAAAGAGAGAAGAATGGAGGGAAGAAACCAGAACAAATAAGGAGGAAACTGAGGAAGAGAAAATAACTGTAACTTTGATTTCATAACTTGAGAGGGAAAGAGGAGATGGAAATATGTGGGCTGAATGATATTATTGATGTGAGCTCTGAAGGATAGTGTGCTGTCGAGGAGGACACTCAGACTCTAAACCTGAGGGGAGAGAGAAACTGAGGAGTGATCAACAGGGAGAGAAAAACTGTCAGTTTTTGAAATTGTGGATTTGGTGCTGATTAGGAGAACCTCGGTTTGTCATGCTATTTCTTTCTTATGAAAAACAATTTCAAAAGACAAACAAGGATGATAAGAGAGACTTTTGATAAGAAGAAGAAAGTGTAAATCTGAAGGAATATTTTATTGATTCTGAGAAAAATAATCTTTGATGTTTAAATATGTTTATAGTCTGAATTGTATGTGTAAATAAATGAATTAACTTAATGTACTATTGCTTTTTTATAAGCTCCTTCTTGGATCTTGATTAGTTAATCATCTGTATTATGTGTAATTTACGTCATGCAAAGCTTGCTAGTATGCAGAAAGAGGAAAGGAGTCTGTTCCCTACTTTCCCACTTAAATGTATAAGGAGATATTTTTTAATGTAATGCTGTGGCCTTATTCATGAAGCCTCCTAAATACTAAAAGTTGCTCCTAGTGACAACTTCTAAGAATTTCCCCTGAAAGTTAAGACTAGATCATTGTAATGATTCAACTTATTCACAAAGCGTCTTAGCCCTTAAGAGTCCATCTTAGACTTTTGTCAGTGCAAAGTGAGACATGCATGTTGAGTTCCTGGTTACCTCCACAGGTAAATCCAATATCTAATAAATGCTGATATAACTCTCATCATGTGTACATTTGAATAATTATCACACGTGTTTATTTCATAGTGTTCATAATAACATAATGTCTGACTCGATTCTATGATAGAGCCCTATGGATTTCACTGTCTGTCTATGTCCATTATCACTAGAGAGCACTTCTCTCCATTATTTGGATCAACCAATCAAGGCTTCTGAAAAAAATGTGTCATACATAGCAACGGGGTCAACTATGCCTCCTCCCTTCCATGCTCAGAGTCGCTCTGAGAATGTTCCTATATCACTCCTAAGCCAATAATCCTCTCTAGGATTTTTTAAGTGAAGTTAGGAGGTCTCTGAGAGGATTCTCAGAATGTTTCTGAATATGGGCCTTGATCTTTAACTTTCTATATCTGAATGTTCTGACTGGTACACCACAGACACAACACAGTCAGAAGTTTGATGTGAGTTCATCAAAAAATAAAAAAAATCATTTTAATTCATATTAAAAGTATAACCTGAAGCACCTAGTCCTCCAGTCTGGTTTCTACTTAATAACATGTTCATGCAGAAGAAGCTCTAAGTGCAAGGAAACACCCGTGTGAAAAGTGTTTGTCACTGTGTGGTTCATGACCACTTCTCTGGTTAAAGAGAAATGGTTTAAAGTGAACTGATGATGCTTTGTAAGAAGTTTGATAAGAAATGTAAATACAAAGAAGAAGTTGTTCATGTCTTTACATTTTTTTAAATTTACTGAGAAGTCTAATGTATGTTGTATTCAATATTCTACTAAATTATACACTCATTAAAACATGAAACCAATAAAATAAACAACCTCAACATACAGCCAAAGCTTGGGGTATCCAGTTTCTCAGATGGTAGAGCACGTACCATTTAAAGTCCTCACCACAGTGAGTGGACCAGGTTCAGTTCTGGTCCCTTTGCTGTTATTCTCTCTCTATCTCAACTTAACTGTCCATCTTACACTGCACCTATCCAAAAAAAAGCAAAATAGAAAATAGTTTTAACAAAAAAAACACAAGAAGCAAACTTCCTCATTCACACAGAAGGGAGGATAAAGACGTTGATGTTTTCGTGTCTGAGCATGACATTGTGTAGGACTGTGCTGGTTTCTTTTTATTAGCTTCAATGTTGTTTCCTTTGTATGAAAAGCTTTCAATGTTCTAAACAGAAATAAGGATGAATGAAAAGAGACATTTGAGATGATGAAAATACAAAAATGACTTTTCAAGTTTTTGTGTTTTGAGGGTTTGAATCCAAATCTGTTTTCCATATGTAATAAAAAGATTAGTGAGTACCAGTTTACAATTTGTCTTTTAATTGTCTCCTTTGTTTGTTAGTTCATCATCTGTAAACAGTCTCTGGTTATTTTGTCTCATTAAAAGTTTATGAGACAGGGCGCCGGTGTCCTAGTGGTTACTTTCAGTGGCCCATGTACGGAGGTTATAGTCCTCCTTCAAGCGGGCGGCCTGTGGCTCTTTTCCTGCTGTACTGCTTCACTGACAAAGTAGATAAGGTACACATTAAGATTTAAAAAAATGAGTGATGTTGTTCACATAAAATGTTGCACCAAATAGCATTAACATCAAAACAAAATATGACATTAAAAGTGACTGTGAGCATGTTCCAGTTTGTTTTAAGTTTTGTGCGCTCTGTGGAAAAGTATGGAGTGTGAAGTCTCTTTTAGAGGACTGGTGATCTGGATTTGTTGATCCCCAAGAGTCTGTATCTGGATCAGGATGATCAAATCCATGATTGATTTCAAAAAGGGATTAAAAATGATCTGATCACATGACTTGACATAGAAAGAACCAAATCTGGATCATTCTTATCCACATTAAACCTTTTAAACCAACAGGCCCTCTAGATAAGACAAAGATACAACAACAGCTTGAGGGCCATGTTGCTCGTTTGTTAGAGCATGTACCATTTAAAGCATGAGTCCTTATCTCAGTGGACCAGGTTCAGTTCTAACCTGGGTCCTTTAGTGGGTGACGTTCTCTCTCTTCCTCTTCTTAACTGTCCATCTTTAGTTGATGCTACCAAAAAAGGTAAACATTTAAATAAAACAGAAGAGGTGTCAAACACTAACTTCCTCATTCTCACGGTACAAGAAGAAAGGATGAAATCTTTTGTGTTTTTTGTGTCTTAACAGCGAGGTGACTGGTTTGTTGCAGTTCTGCTGAAATTTAAAAATCGTCTTTTTTCTACATTTTCTCTGTTTAAGCTCCTGGAGGTTTGTTTGGTAAGATCAGCTATGACTGCTATTTATGTTTAATCGTTTTAGTTTTCAGCAGCTTTTATTTTTCTTTAAATGAAAATGACTGTTTTGTTCATCCAACTCTTTAACGAGGACTTTGAAGAGTCAATTAGTTTTTAATTCCAGGTGATGGGTGTTACTGCAGTCCTGTCAGTGAACATGGTAACAGCCATCATGTTACTGACTGTCTTCTCTCTTTCAGGTGAGCTGTTTGTTCACTTACTTTCATTCAAAGATGTTTAATCTGTACAGTTTGAACTTCCTGTAGAAACAAAGCAGAGAGAAGAGTGCAGATAGAGTTTCTTCTTTCATCTCTTCATGTCCCGACTGAAAAGTGAAATGTTTTAGACTGACTTTGTGAACAAGAGAGAAAAAGACCAGAGCACACCACATTACTTCTTAGACTCTCATTAACATCCTCTATATGAAGATCCTGCTCCACATTATAATAACTGATGGTCTGCTTTACAGAAGAGTCGGATGAATGTCGGACTACAAGGTCAGATCTCTTCATCACGACACCAAAGAAGATGGAAGCACTGAGTGGAACTTGTCTGAAAATCCCATGTAGCTTTAGTGTTAAAAATGAAACAGAGTTTGACAACAGAAGAGAAATATTTGGAATATGGCTTAAAGAAGACAGAGACATTTATCCAAAGAATGTGGTTTTTAACAGTAGTGGCACAGTGAACAAATTTCAAATGAACATAACTGGAAACTTGAGAATGAAAAACTGCACCACTCTGATTTACAACATGAAGACGACATATGAAGGCTTATACTACTTCAGGATCGAGAACGGGCCTTTCAGGAGAAATGCTATTTGTGATCCTCTTCACATAACAGTCAAAGGTAAGAGAGTTTCATTTTCTTTTAATCAGACTATAAAGGTTTTATTAAGAAACAAGAAATCATTGTCACAGCACAAGTTGAACTCTGATTAAATCCTGAGACTCTTTTTACTGGTTGAGATTGAAGGGTCCAATCTTGGCACACTAAGAAGCAGAAACATTTTTTAATTTAAAGTTTTTAATTACAGTGCTGTCAGCTTTTGTCTTAACATCATTAGGACCATTTTTTCCTTGTAACATTTTTCAACACCTCCCCCTCCTCTCCCATACACACACAAACATACACATGCACACACACACACACACACACACACACACACACACACACACACACACACACACAAAAACTAACAATGTAACAATGATAAGTATCCTACCCTTCCTTTTTACAAAGTAAACATACATTTTCATATATGACATGACAAACCTTCTCCATGAAGTTTCCATGACAGAATATTAACGTGGTAATGATGACAGGCGGTGGCTGGAAGTTTGGGAAGAGTATAGTAGAAAATCATTTTAGAAAGGACAGTCACTGTCAGCTAGTCTATTGGTTAAAGTAATCTTTGTTTGATTTGAACACACAGATTCTCCCCCGAGCCCCAAACTAATCATCTCAGGAGATCTGAAGGAGAAGGAGTCTGTCACTATAACCTGCTCAGCTTCCACTCCCTGTCCACTCTCCCCTCCTAAACTCACCTGGAATCTCAAACAAGACTCTCTCAACAACATGGAGGAAAACCCAGATAAAACCTTCACGACTAAAATCCAGGAGCAGATCACTCTGACGGACAAACATGATGGATACAACATCACCTGTTCTGCCACATATCCTGTGAATGAAGGAAAAGAAGTCAAGACAGCAGAGACACAGACTCTCAGAGTTTCATGTAAGACAACCAGAGATTGTTATTGGATCCTTTCAGAATGTGATGATTTTAAAGATGTTTGCTGTTTTTAATGAAATATGTTTATCTAACATTTTCCTCAGATTCTCCTAAAAACACCTCAGTGTCCATCAGTCCATCAGGTTTGGTGTCAGCAGATATTCATGTAAACCTGACCTGCTCCAGCAGAGCCAATCCTCCTGTCAGCAACTTCACCTGGTTCAAGATCAGCAGAGATAGACCCATGATCGTATCTGAAGGAGAGTTTTACAGCTTTAATGCCACAGAGGGAGGAGTTTATTACTGTGTGGCCATCAATGATCTCGGTAATCAGACATCACCACAGATCAATCTGAGTGTTGCAGGTAAATTTAGAACTTCACATTTGTATCCAACATGCTCTCCTTTTCGATCTGTCGGGTTATTTGTTTGTTTTCACTAAAAACAATTCTTACTGAATTCATGTGTAATAATGCTACATAAATAAATGAAACAAAGACGTTCACATTAGAGGTTAAAAGATTAAATTAAAGTGCAGGATATCTTACAGCCATGAAAAGCTTTTTCCATCTAGTAGCAGGTGATCATGATGTCTTGTTCCAGAAAATCTGATTTCCGATCTGTTAGGGGTTGATGTCCACATTACATTGAAGATCCTGGGAATCGTGCTGCTCTACAGTTCAGTCATCATCTTTGAGTGGTGAGACAAACTGTCATAAGAAATGAAGATTTGTGGCTTATGTTATTCATCTCATTGCATTTTTATTTTTCTACAGTGTAAGTGTTTGATTCTTATTTCTTTTATCTGATCTCTTTTTCTTTCAGCTGGTTAAAGTCAAGATGCTTCAACAAACAGGTGAAGGTGAGTTACTAGATGAGGACAGGTTCACCATTCTTTCTACAAAATGAGATTGAAGCACGTGTTATAAAAGAGGGAAGTTATCTGAGTAGCTTTTTTTGAAGATTTGATCAACACAGTCACATAAAGTAATAGATCCAGAGAAGATGATGTTCAGATATGCAGGTCCAACAGCAGCGACAGGAGACCAGATGGTAACAGTGAAAAGTGTTTCAGGAATGCTTATACTGACTTTGATTTTCAGAGATAAAGTCCAAGCGTTCCTGGTTTGTCTCTTGTAGCTGCATCAAAGTCACCACACAGCACTGACACCGCTCTCTCTGTGTTGTTTCATTCAAACAGGACGCAGAAGAAGCAGACTATGTCAACAGAGTGGTTATGATTCAAGCTTCATGAAGGAGAAGAGGATGACTTCATGTTCATCTTGAATGCAATATCTCTATTTCTCTTTTCTGTATTAAATGTTTTTTCTTTGCAGCAGGTTAGTGATGAACAAAGGGTGGGATACGACAGGAAGGATGTTTTTGTTCAAAGGCAGATAACATAAAAATACTGTAATGTACTGCAGCCAAATCATTACACTGTGAAGCACTGTGCTGGTCTATGGTATTGCTGTTGTAATTCTTTTTTATATTAGCTTCTTTTATAATAATAAAAGAACACAACAAAGCACTCCATGTCACCTTACAAAGAAGAAATAAAAACAACAGAGTAACAATACATCCATCAAATTAACATTAAAAAGACAAATTTACAGAGTATGAAATCTTTGTGAGATAGGATGGAAAATGATCAGACAGAAAATGCTCGTTTTAAAAGATGTGTTTTGAGATGAGATTTAAAAATAGAGAGAGAGTCAATATTACGGATGTGTGGTGGGAGGGAGTTCCAGAGGCGGGGGGCAGAGAGGCTGAAGACCCTGGACCCCATGGTGGACAGGCGGGCGGGTGGTGCAGTGAGTTGAATGGAAGAAGAAGACCTGAGAGTGAGGGTGGGTGTGTTGATGTACAGGAGATCAGAGAGGTAGAGAGGAGCGAGGTTATGGATGGACTTAAAGGTGAGGAGCAGAATCTTGAAGTTGATGTGATTAATGGAGGGGGGTCACGAGAGGATGCAAGCAGCAGAGTTCTGGACCAGTTGAAGTTTGTGGTTGGACTTGAGAGGGGGAACAGTGAGGATGGGAGATTTAAAAAGGGTGTGAACGATGATGGAGGTACTGTTGGATGTGATGGACGGGCGGAGGTGATTTAAGTTACGTAGATGGAAATAAGCGAGCCGAGTGACATTATTGATGTGAGCTCTGAAGGATAGTGTGCTGTCGAGGAGGACACTCAGACTCTAAACCTGAGGGGAGAGAGAAACTGAGGAGTGATCAACAGGGAGAGAAAAACTGTCAGTTTTTGAAATTGTGGATTTGGTGCTGATTAGGAGAACCTCGGTTTGTCATGCTATTTCTTTCTTATGAGAAAACAATTTTAAAAAGACAAACAAGGATGATAAGTGAGACTTTTCGTAAGAAGAAGAAAGTGTAAATCTGAAGGAATATTTTATTGAATCTGAGAAAAATAATCTTTGATGTTTAAATATGTTTATAGTCTGAATTGTATGTGTAATAAATGAATTAACTTAATGTACTATTGCTTTTTTATAGGCTCCTTCTATGATCTTTATTAGTTAATCATCTGTATTATGTGTAATTTACGTCATGCAAAGCTTGCTAGTATGCAGAAAGAGGAAAGGAGTCTGTTCCCTACTTTCCCACTTAAATGTATAAGGAGATATTTTTTAATGTAATGCTGTGGCCTTATTCATGAAGCCTCCTAAATACTAAAAGTTGCTCCTAGTGACAACTTCTAAGAATTTCCCCTGAAAGTTAAGACTAGATCATTGTAATGATTCAACTTATTCACAAAGCGTCTTAGCCCTTAAGAGTCCATCTTAGACTTTTGTCAGTGCAAAGTGAGACATGCATGTTGAGTTCCTGGTTACCTCCACAGGTAAATCCAATATCTAATAAATGCTGATATAACTCTCATCATGTGTACATTTGAATAATTATCACACGTGTTTATTTCATAGTGTTCATAATAACATAATGTCTGACTCGATTCTATGATAGAGCCCTATGGATTTCACTGTCTGTCTATGTCCATTATCACTAGAGAGCACTTCTCTCCATTATTTGGATCAACCAATCAAGGCTTCTGAAAAAAATGTGTCATACATAGCAACGGGGTCAACTATGCCTCCTCCCTTCCATGCTCAGAGTCGCTCTGAGAATGTTCCCATATCACTCCTAAGACAATAATCCTCTCTAGGATTTTTTAAGTGAAGTTAGGAGGTCTCTGAGAGGATTCTCAGAATGTTTCTGAATATGGGCCTTGATCTTTAACTTTCTATATCTGAATGTTCTGACTGGTACACCACAGACACAACACAGTCAGAAGTTTGATGTGAGTTCATCAAAAAATAAAAAAAATCATTTTAATTCATATTAAAAGTATAACCTGAATCACCTAGTCCTCCAGTCTGGTTTTTACTTAAAAACATATTCATGCAGAAGAAGCTCTAAGTGCAAGGAAACACCCGTGTGAAAAGTGTTTGTCACTGTGTGGTTCATGACCACTTCTCTGGTTAAAAAGAAATGGTTTAAAGTGAACTGATGATGCTTTGTAAGAAGTTTGATAAGAAATGTAAGTACAAAGAAGAAGTTGTTCATGTCTTTACATTTTTTTAAATTTACTGAGAAGTCTAATGTATGTTGTATTCAATATTCTACTAAATTATACACTCATTAAAACATGAAACCAATAAAATAAACAACCTCAACATACAGCCAAAGCTTGGGGTATCCAGTTCCTCAGATGGTAGAGCACGTACCATTTAAAGTCCTCACCACAGTGAGTGGACCAGGTTCAGTTCTGGTCCCTTTGTTGTTATTCTCTCTCTACCTCAACTTAACTGTCCATCTTACACTGCACCTATCCAAAAAAAGCAAAATAGAAAATAGTTTTAACAAAAAAAACACAAGAAGCAAACTTCCTCATTCACACAGAAGGGAGGATAAAGATGTTGATGTTTTCGTGTCTGAGCATGACATTGTGTAGGACTGTGCTGGTTTCTTTTTATTAGCTTCAATGTTGTTTCCTTTGTATGGAAAGCTTTCAATGTTCTAAACAAAAATAAGGATGAATGAAAAGAGACATTTGAGATGATGAAAATACAAAAATGACTTTTCAAGTTTTTGTGTTTTGAGGGTTTGAATCCAAATCTGTTTTCCATATGTAATAAAAAGATTAGTGAGTACCAGTTTACTATTTGTCTTTTAATTGTCTCCTTTGTTTGTTAGTTCATCATCTGTAAACAGTCTCTGGTTATTTTGTCTCATTAAAAGTTTATGAGACAGGGCGCCGGTGTCCTAGTGGTTACTTTCAGTGGCCCATGTACGGAGGTTATAGTCCTCCTTCAAGCGGGCGGCCTGTGGCTCTTTTCCTGCTGTACTGCTTCTCTGACAAAGTAGATAAGGTACACATTAAGATTTAAAAAAATGAGTGATGTTGTTCACATAAAATGTTGCACCAAATAGCATTAACATCAAAACAAAATATGACATTAAAAGTGACTGTGAGCATGTTCCAGTTTGTTTTAAGTTTTGTGCGCCCTGTGGAAAAGTATGGAGTGTGAAGTCTCTTTTAGAGGACTGGTGATCTGGATTTGTTGATCCCCAAGAGTCTGTATCTGGATCAGGATGATCAAATCCATGATTGATCTAAAAAAGGGATTCAAAATGATCTGATCACATGACCCAACATAGAAAGAACCAAATCTGGATCATTCTTATCCACATTAAATCTTTTAAACCAACAGGCCCTCTAGATAAGACAAAGATACAACAACAGCTTGAGGGCCATGTTGCTCGTTTGTTAGAGCATGTACCATTTAAAGCATGAGTCCTTATCTCAGTGGACCAGGTTCAGTTCTAACCTGGGTCCTTTAGTGGGTGACGTTCTCTCTCTTCCTCTTCTTAACTGTCCATCTTTAGTTGATGCTACCATAAAAGGTAAACATTTAAATAAAACAGAAGATGTGTCAAACACTAACTTCCTCATTCTCACAGTAAAAGAAGAAAGGAATAAATCTTTTGGGGTTTTTGTGTCTTAGCAGCGAGGTGACTGGTTTGTTGCAGTTCTGCTGAAATTTTAAAATCATCTTTTTTCTCCATTTTCTCTGTTTAAGCTCCTGGAGGTTTGTTTGGTAAGATCAGCTATGACTGCTATTTATGTTTTATTGTTTTAGTTTTCAGCAGCTTTTATTTTCTTTAAATGAAAATGACTGTTTCGTTAATCCAACTCTTTAACGAGGACTTTGAAGAGTAACTTAGTTTTTAATTCCAGGTGATGGGTGTTACTGCAGTCCTGTCAGTGAACATGGTAACAGCCATCATGTTACTGACTGTCTTCTCTCTTTCAGGTGAGCTGTTTGTTCACTTACTTTCATTCAAAGATGTTTAATCTGTACAGTTTGAACTTCCTGTAGAAACAAAGCAGAGAGAAGAGTGCAGATAGAGTTTCTTCTTTCATCTCTTCATGTCCTGACTGAAAAGTGAAATGTTTTAGACTGACTTTGTGAACAAGAGAGAAAAAGACCAGAGCACACCACAATACTTCTTAGACTCTCATTAACATCCTCTATATGAAGATCCTGCTCCACATTATAATAACTGATGGTCTGCTTTACAGAAGCGTCGGATGAATGTTGGACTACAAGGTCAGCGCTCTTCATCACGACACCAAAGAAGATGGAAGCACTGAGTGGAACTTGTCTGAAAATCCCATGTAGCTTTAGTGTTAAAAATGAAAGAGAGTTTGACAACAGAAGAGAAACATTTGGAATATGGCTTAAAGAAGACAAAGAGACTTATCCAAAGAATGTGGTTTTTAACAGTAGTGGCACAGTGAACAAATTTCAAATGAACATAACTGGAAACTTGAGAATGAAAAACTGCACCACTCTGATTTACAACATGAAGACGACATATGAAGACTTATACTACTTCAGAATCGAGAACGGGCCTTTCATGGCAAATGCTATTTGTGATCCTCTTCACATAACAGTCAAAGGTAAGAGAGTTTCATTTTCTTTTAATCAGACTATAAAGGTTTTATTAAGAAACAAGAAATCATTGTCACAGCACAAGTTGAACTCTGATTAAATCCTGAGACTCTTTTTACTGGTTGAGATTGAAGGGTCCAATCTTGGCACACTAAGAAGCAGAAACATTTTTTAATTTAAAGTTTTTAATTACAGTGCTGTCAGCTTTTATCTTAACATCATTAGGACCATTTTTTCCTTGTAACATTTTTCAACACCTCCCCCCTCCTCTCCCATACACACACAAACATACACATGCACACACACACACACACACACAAAAACTAACAATGTAACAATGATAAGTATCCTACCCTTTCTTTTTACAAAGTACACACACATTTTTATATATGACATTACAAACCTTCTCCATGAAGTTTCCATGACAGAATATTAACGTGGTAATGATGACAGGCGGTGGCTGGAAGTTTGGGAAGAGTATAGTAGAAAAGCATTTTAGAAAGGACAGTCACTGTCAGCTAGTCTATTGGTTAAAGTAATCTTTGTTTGATTTGAACACACAGATTCTCCTCCGAGCCCCAAACTAAACATCTCAGGAGATCTGAAGGAGAAGGAGTCTGTCACTATAACCTGCTCAGCTTCCACTCCCTGTCCACTCTTCCCTCCTAAACTCACCTGGAATATCAAACAAGACTCTCTCAACATGGAGGAAAACCCAGATAAAACCTTCACGACAAAAATCCAGGAGCAGATCACTCTGACGGACAAACATGATGGATACAACATCACCTGTTCTGCCACATATCCTGTGAATGAAGGAAAAGAAGTCAAGACAGCAGAGACACAGACTCTCAGAGTTTCATGTAAGACAACCAGAGATTGTTATTGGATCCTGTCAGAATGTGATGATTTTAAAGATGTTTGCTGTTTTTAATGAAATATGTTTATCTAACATTTTCCTCAGATTCTCCTAAAAACACCTCAGCGTCCATCAGTCCATCAGGTTTGGTGTCAGCAGGTATTCATGTGAACCTGATCTGCTCCAGCAGAGCCAATCCTCCTGTCAGCAGCTTCACCTGGTTCAAGATCAGCAGAGATAGACCCATGAACATATCTGAAGCAGAGTTTTCCAGCTTTAATGCCACAGAGGGAGGAGTTTATTACTGTGTGGCCAGGAATGAGCTCGGTAATCAGACATCACCACAGATCAATCTGACTTTTGCAGCAGGTAAAAACTAGAAGTGAAAAAGCTTCTCTTCTTTTATTTTAATTTCTTCTTCTTTGTTGTTTTCTGCTTGTGCGTTTTGGTCGGTTATTTTCATCTCTTTTTGAATGTACACTCTTTACTGCATTGGTATCAAACAGTTTAACAAATGATCGCTGCAATATTAACTCTAAATGTCTGCATACCACCCAACCTTTCTTTAATTCAGATATCACAAAAGCAAAACTATGTGGGAGATGCAACGCTATGTTTAAACACTTTAGACGGCAAAAACAAGACAAAACAGAAACGAGCAGGAACTAGTGACATACTGTAACATTATGTGTGTTGAGGGTGTTGAGGGGCTGTGTGTGAGTGAGTGTGTGTGTGAGTGTGTGTGTGTGTGTGTGTGTGTGTGTGTGTGTGTGTGTGTGTGTGTGTGTGTGTGTGTGTGTGTGTGTGCGTGTGTGTGTGCGTGTGTGTGGGAGGAGAAAATGTAAGAAGTAAAGTGTAAGAGAAGTTTGGGCTCGATAAAAAATGAATAGAGAGACAAAAATAAACAAGTTAATAAAATCCCCTACCCTACCTCAGTCAGCCTGCGGAGGGGGCCGGCTGATGACTGATGGCTCAAAGTCCCTCTTCGGAGAATACCTACTCTGAAACAGGAACTAAACAGGTTCCTCTTAACGGGGTTCTTGGAACTAAAATAGTTCATAGTTCCTGAGAAGCAGAATTAATGAATTAGGGGGGCACAACAGTTTCAAGAACTATGAATAAGTTCCTGCCTTATTACTAATAATACCACCAGAAATAAAATAGTAATAATAACTAAAGAAATAATATCAATGATTATTATTGTTATTAATACAAAAACAATAAAAACATTAATAATAATAAAAAATAACGACAACTCCACTTGTTTTTCATTGAACAGACACCTCTCCTCTTTGGGGTTCAGCTTTTGGGATCATTGTCGTAGTCGTCTGCCTCGCTGTCTGTATTTGGTAAGTATCACAAATCTAGTTTGGTCAGGAAATAAATGAGTCTGTCATCTGCTGTCATTGTTTCCAACAGAGGAGCAGTGCCTTTGCATTATACTGATGAATAAATCTCCCAAAAGGCAAACAAAGTTTTTCCCTAACTTTGATCTTCTAGTTTCCCATCAGAAGAGTCTCATGTGGACTAGTTCATTAAGTCTCTATAAGCAGCACACTCTAATTCACCGACACCAGTATAACCATGATCTTTATTGTCTTTCAGGTGGTTAAAGAGGAAACATCAAACTCCCCAACAGAACCCGGTGGGAACATACTTAACTCATACTTCAACACTGAACACTCTGTTATGTTTTAATATATCTGTTGACATTGACTGTGTCCTGCTGTGGGAAAGCTAAAGTCTTTATTCTAAGCAGGCAATATGTCAGAGGTCAGCTGGTGGTGGAAATATGAGTTGTAGTAGCAGTTTATTCAATCAGTGATTATTTACCTCCATAAAGATCTACATAGACGTTATACTCAAGTTAAAAATAACATACATACATAAAACAAATCAAAGAGGTGTAGGCTGAAACTTTACTGTCTATACCTTGTTAACCCTTTAAATTAAACTTTTAAATAACACCATTAAAAAAACTAAGTTTCAAACATTTCATAGTAAATAAAACAAACTGGAGTTCAAAAACATTTCATAATAATCAAGTAGGAAGCCAAAAAACAAGACAGCCTGTCATTTGTATATTACCGGTATCTGTGCTCTTTTAGTTTCTACTAATTAATAAACTCATATAAATGTATAAATGGTGCATTCACAGTATAGCTACATCTACTAACATTGTTTTTTGCTCTCTTCTTTAACTAAACAATAAACAGGTATTGTTCTTATATGTGGTACCTCATACCTCCACACAGTCGGTCATACAATGAGCTCTGATGCAGAATATCCTCACTTTTATTTAACATGACAATGTAATGTGACATTTTAGATTTAATTTTATGCAGCTTCAAAAGAAGTTCATCGTCAATGATCCCACCATGAAATGTGTTTTCATTTTCCCTTTCTATATCGCAACGTCTTTGATCTGGATTTTAACTTGATTTTTGAGTTTCCAGTTGCCAAAGATTAAACTTTATTTACACTCATAACTTGTTAATGGCAAACCATTTCTGAATACTTTCAATGTACTTTCCACTGTATTCAGAAGCAGATATTTCCAGAGCGGTAAAGATCATCAGTAAATAATACACATTTTAAAAGTAAATAAACTCAACAGATGTCATTAATATACAGTATTTTAAAAAACCAAGCCACCCTTGAGGAACCCCACAAGTAACCTTTAATGTTTTAAATTTAGATTATTTTGTTGTACATATTGATTTCTTTCATCAAGGTAACTTTTCACCTAGCATCATTATAAAGAATAGTAAAGTGAATATTTGGTTTAAATTTGTGCATTAACAGTTTGCTTTGTTAGATAGAGATAAGTTGATACAAAATATTTACCTTAAGTGACTGCCAGATGTTACAATACATGACTATCATTTTAGATTGTAATTATATGAGTTATTGAGACAAAGTTTAAAAAAAAATCAACTCCTGGAAGGCTCTCCTCAGAAGTTTTATCACTTAGGGAGAAAACATAGCACCTGCCTTTAATATGTTTTCTTATTTGATTTCAGAGTCAAAGAGATGGTGTACTGGCTACTTATCAACCACCGAATGAAACAGAGGAAACCATCCATTACGGGGAGATCAACTTTTCAGTGCGAGGACCTGAACAGCGCTCTGTCTCAGTGCAGGACAGTGGACAGCAGCAGGATACAGTGTATGCACAGGTCAAAGTGTCCAAGCCAGCAAGCAGCCGAACACAGCCTGCTGACGGTTCAGCAGATATCTACGCTCAAGTGAAGAAAAAATGAGTGGATTGAATGCATTTCATCAACTTTCATTACACAACTTTTTATGTTCCTTTTTTTTTTTTTACTTATTACAGCTCATGTTTTATATAGTTGAGCTCAGCGTTAGGTCAGGAAGGCCACGGAGTGACACTCTACTATCATGCCATAGTTTTATTAACAGCTGATCTCATGCAAACCTCATCAGCTCATGGCCAGCTGATTTCCTTCAAAGCATCCTAGATTGGCCAAATAGTACTTATGACACCTTATTTTAACTGTTCTAACCTGCCTACTATTTGCTGCTTCCTCTGCAAGCCGCATTTGCAACTCTCCTCCACCCCAGCTCCTCCTTTCATGCTGTCCAGACTTAATCAATGTCATGCTGTTGTCATTGATTCCTACTCTGTTTGGCTTTGCTGCTTCTCTCCCTGCCTTATGCTTTCCATGTAATCATGTGGAAGGGCAGGGAGATCCCAGACCAGAGCCATACTGCCAAATATAAATAATTGCAATGGAGTATTTTTTCTTGACAAAGGGGTCCTGACTGAAATCTTGTTGCTGAGTAATATTTAGCCTCTTGCATATGTGCAACTAAAATATACAGAAGTCTATAAGGGACTTTATTTTTTATATAAAACTTACTGCAAGCAGTTGCAGTCCACGTTTATGTTATTTTGTTACCCTTTAATTTGATATGTTTAGTTTTATTGTAAAATGCTTTAATTTGATGGTTTTTGATGAGGCATGTTAAATCTCCATCACTTCTCTTTTATTTCCATTTTCTCACCTTGTTTGTTTCTCATGTTTTCATTTGTACTTTTTAAAAAACTTCAAAAATAAGCACGAGGCAAAGTTTTTGCTTTTGAAGATATTTATTCATTGCACTGTAATAAAAACCTTGTCTCCTCAAAATACCTAATAATCTCAGTCGCACTTACTGGTTGAACATTTTATATTTATGTGTAAACATCAGCTGAAGTCAAGGAATTGAATCACAAACATTACAAAAGTGGAAAATGGATTATGCATAGTATTCCTTGGGATCATGAATTAATATATTGACTACTTACAGGACTTTTTATTTTGTGTATATGTGAATATTAAGAGTGTTCTGTTAAACTTTTAATAAAGCATCTTTAATCTTTTTGTAAATAAAATGATAAAAACCCATCTCTGTCAGATTTTTGCTAAATCTTTGGGTATTGATGGGAACTTGACAGGAATTTGATGGGATGTCAGTGGATGCAGAATGAAGTGAAGGGTGTTGGGGGTGACCCTTTACCTCCCAAGTGATAGGTTCCTCCTGTGGTGATGCTGAGAGGTGAAGTGGAGCTCACAGCAGACGCCTCCTCGCCGTCTATCGTCAACATGGCAAAGTTCTCCTTGGCGACCAAACGTATTGAGTGCCATTGGCCGTCGTTAAGGCTTGAACCTATAGAGGGGGGGGCGGATGTAAAAATTGATTCAGAAAACACGTTATCTAAAGTGTAGATCTTAGGGAGTTGGCACAGGAGTTTCCACAGGCTCCAAAAATCTGCATTAACTGATTCCTGTGGAAAAATATAATCCACATCCATTCATCCTGGGTGAGAAGCATGTGGGTGGTGAAGCTAAAATACAATTTATAAATGTGATAAGAGGCTCTTCATCCTCTGCTTTTTCACACAACCACTTTTTTTTCCACAGTCGTGGCACCCCTGGGTTTCTCCTTATTCATTTCTGCCCTGACCCAACAGCCTGGTGAATGTGGCATCACTCCTTCTTTATCTCTACCGCTTTCCAGGCATAGAGTAGACTAAAGGCCCCTGAGCCTCAACTCCATTAACTCACAGAAAACCCTATTTGCGTCAGAGAACCAGAGTGCATGCGTGTGTGCTCTCCAAGGATGCTTGCATGCTTTGAACATTGCAATGCAATAGTGTATAAATCTGTAAAGTGCTGCTTTGTCCGCATTATGTCGATGTAGTGTGTGAGCGTGGGTTACTGAATGCAGGTTTTGTACTCTCCTGTACTCTCTCTTCTCTTGTAGATTTGCTCCATTAAGTATGAGTGATGTTTTAGAAGAGGACATTACTACTGGAGCCGAGAGAGAAGCCAGCTCCCTCTCATCAACTTCTTGTCTATACATCACCTCTTACTGACACAAATCTCTATCCATCCTCCCTCCCTGCTACCTCTCTGTCCCTGATTCTTTACTCTGTCTCTTTGTCTTTTCTTCCTGTCCTCTGTTTCTGTATTTCTGCATTTCACATTCCCTTTTTATGTCCCTGTCTTCATATTTTACTCCTCTTGTGGCCATTAGCAGCATGTCCATCTTTTTACCTTCTCTAACTGCTTCACTGACTTCAATACATCGATAGTGAGGATCCAGCAGTGAAGTTCAAGGTACGGTCATGTGAAAATCAGTCGTAAGAAAGTGCACCTGCTTTCTGGTCAATGCGCATGAACCTTGGCATGTAACATGTGTCAATATATCTGACTGTGTGAGTGTGTGTGTGTGTGTGTGTGTGTGTGTGTGTGTGTGTGTGTGTGTGTGTATATTTATAATGTATATGTGTATGGTAGCTTCTTTATTACCTCTGCTTGCTGTATGACAGTAACCAGCCAAAAGGTTTACTGTTGCATAGTTTATTTTCTACCCAGCATACACTTGGAGACCTTCAGGTTTCTTGCCAGTATGCAGCCTTAGCTAATTAATCTTCATCAGCCGGGGGACCATGTGTGAGTAAAGCCGGTGTATGTGTCGGGTTATAGCAGTGACTGAACTGACTAAGAGCCAAGATAGCCCCCTGCTGAGGGGTTTCATAACTGGGGCTTCATTAAAGGAAGCGCAGATCAAATATGCCCAAACACACACAGTTGGGCTAAAATGAATTACATTGTTACAAGAAAAATCCAATAAATCTGTAAAAGAGTTATGTTACTCTATAACATTGCACTTTTGTTTTATATGACAAAATTAGAGAAAGGTTTCTGAGTCGTCAGAATCACAAAAAAGACAAAGAATTTGTAAAAGCAGGAAGTTTCCAGAGGGTGGCCCGGGCCCTTCCATCACCTGATTGGCCATCCAGGGTGCCAACCTATAATTCTATGATTGATGAAAACTATGATTGGCTATCTAACCTATAATAAGTACAAACCAACTTGGGCTATGTTGGGACAGGCTGCTGGTTAGTTTTATGGCAAATCTTTAGAACACTTTTTTTGTTGGTTCTATTAACTGTTGCACATTAAGAGGCATGTCATTTTCAGAGTCTTAAAGCATGGACGATGCAAAGATGACTTGAGTTCCGTCTATCTGAGAATCAAGAGACTTTAACTCTGTAAATAGAAACGTGCCAGCCTGAAGGCGAACCTGGCTCCAAAAAGGGGGCAGACACTCAGATTGGTTTGAATCTTGTTATTCTCAAAACACCCAAGCATAATTAAGGGACTTGATCACCTCTTCGCACTCTGCACCTCACTTAGCAAACATTTAAGCAAACATTTGGAGTGGGTATGAAGCTGCCTTCTTTTTGCAAGACTTGCAAATCTAAATACGTCAGTTTTGCAGGATGTGCATTAATGTGTGCACATCGTCAACTCACCTGATGATAAGTCGACCCGGTTGTTGCTGGTCCCCTTTGAAACGTTGACATGAACTACCACCTTGCTCTCCTCCAGGGAGATCTCCAGAGTGCCATCATCGAGATTACTGAAGAAGAGAAGCCCATCGGGGTTCAGCGTAAGAAACTGGACGCTCACAGATATCGTGTTGTGATCTGCTCGTCCTGGCAGCTGCAGGAAGCTGGTGGCTAGGAAGGTGTGTTACGCTGTCAAGACACAGAGTGGGAGATAGAGACAACAACAAAAAACAGAGATTAATTGGTCTTGAAAGAGAAACAGTGAAAAACAAAGTTGCTCCCTTTGTATGTGAAGTTGTTTCAAAGTTTTAAATGCCACCAACAGTTCAGGAAATCATTTATTTATCTGACAGGCTTTTGTTGCTTTGAGTCCCTCCTCTGCATGATTACCCTCAGATGTTACTGACTGACGCTTGGTTCAGAGAATGATGTTGCTTGTACACATGACAAAAATGTCACGTTTTGTCTCAGTATGTCTTTGAGAACCAGGGTGGAACTGCAGCTTGGGGTGATGTTTTATTGCTCGAGGCGAACAAACACTACTGTTGAATTCAGGAGCTAATTACCTTTGAGTATCTCGTGCCGGTAATCAAATCATCAGCACACACTGTATAATGGGGATGCGTCACTGACAAGAGATGATTTTCTGTTTGCCTCTGACTTTGTTTGTGCTTAAAATTTGAGAGCAGATATTTTTTAATTAAAAATGCACAGCTGTGTGAGCCATTAGAGAGGATGAGAAGAAAGGCTCTTATTAACTTGCTAAGTGCCTGCATTTGTTTAATCAGTTCACAAGAGGACGAGGACTCTTCAGGAAGGTCAGGATGGGCAGCGCTCTGAGACAGTCTATCAAATGATCTTCAGTTATTAGGAATGGCAAAACTCATTTGCAATCATTACAGCCATTCATTATGAAGCCATTCATTATTCATAGCATTTCATGTTTTCCTTATTTTGTTGAAAGAAGTTGTAATTGATAAAAAGGTTCATATTTTATCTGTAATTGTACATGTGTGTTTTTCTCCTGACCTTTAGACACAGCTCTGAACTCAGATGGAATATAAAAAGGGGGGGGGGATGATATTACTAAGTGAGTCTGTCTATCTGTATATGTGTTTGTATCTCTCTGCGGTAATGCTTCAGTAGTTTTAATAATTCTTTAGTTGACAGGATTAAATGAGAGCAGGAAAAATAATCATAACAGGAGCACACACACAGTCGTATAAGAATGAGTGTGCAGACAAGATAAAGTACATAGCTACACTAGAGTTACAGCTTGTCACAATGTGTGTCTCTTTAGCCAGTCCCATTAAGGCAGGCACCACTGGAATCCATGCAGTGGTCACCACACAAGAAGCAGACACACACAAAGCCCTGGTTGTATAGATTTCCCCAAAGATCCCTTCATTCAACAGCTTCTCTTTAATTGGACTGTGGTTTGTCCTGCCCCATTTCTTAATACTTAATACTGGAACAGATCAACCATATCAACATGTCTGCTAAAGGTCACACTCTTAAAGCTTATCAATACAAACACAAACACATAAAGGAAGCTGCACAATTATGCACAAACTCTGTAACCCACAGGTGCTTTTCATTCCCATTATGCATTCCTGGATCAATTTCCTGTTTTTAAGTTCTTTTAGCTAAACTTTTTTTAGCTGAAGCATTTCATTACCAACAGTAATTATGGGAGTTTTATGGATGAGGTTTATAGCCCAGTGTAAAACCAACATCTAATGTCCTGTGTGGTATCAAAGCACTGTGAAGACAGAGGAAACCAAGCTACCACAGAGGATGAATAGTTTACAAAGATTAGTGATGGGTCATGATTTTGGAATAATCAAATTGTGATTTATTAATTTTAAAAGTTCATGCAAGCCAAGCTTGTGGGGGGGGGGGGGGGGGGGTAACCTGTTGTTTGTATGTTCTATTTATGCCTGAGTGATCTTTTAGTTTTCCTGTGGTCTTGGGGAACTTGTGAATCCAGATAAGCTGCACTTCAGAAAGTGTTCCATTGAGGCAGGAGCGAGCACAGGGTTCTGAGCCACCTTTTATGACATGAATTGCACAGCTCTTGCTGACATTAGCTTACCCATAGATGTATCACAAGGAGCCGGCAAGTGTTTTGTTTGGTTAATAAGCCGAAGAAAGGTGAGCCCTACAGCGTGTTAAATCAAGCACAACTGGCTGGTTGGAGTTAGAATGCTTGATTGTATCCACGGCAACATGTGGAAAAACAGTCAATTAGGAGACTGTTAGCACCAAAGCAGGTCACTCACAGTTTCATCCACTTAAGAAGACATCCAAGCAATCTAGGAACAAATGACTTACTTACTTAAATACATTTCGGCTCGACAGCTGACGATGACACTAAATCATTCAGACGACAGCTTTAGACTATAACTTACATAAACCGGCCAAAGGTTGAAGTCAGGTAGGATTTGGTCTGTCTTAAGGATGATTCCTGCAGGAGAATAATTGTGTTTGTGTAGAAAATCTCCTCCCTCTGTTTCTTTCAGTCACATTCAGCTCTACTATTCCATGACTCATTTATGAAATAATTGATTTTCTGTTAATCCTGTGTAAATCAAAATGGAAATGAGCATGCACACAGAAGCCTTTATATAACACAGTCCTAGATGAGTTATATGGTAATATGGTGTTGCATTTAATTATCATACATTTACAAACCTAGAATTATCATCTACAACCAACATATTTGGTGATTATGCTGGGAACACGACATCTATATTTATCTGCCTCCCTCTCCTCCTATTACTTGTCTTTTCTGAGTTCTTCTTCCCTCCTCTCTTCTCTGTCAACGCACAACACGTTACTTCTTGTCTCTGTCATGACTGGATCGGGAAAGCAGGAAAACATTTAGAAGAAGTTGATTCTAACAGAACTTGAGAGTTGAGAAGTGAAGATGAACAGACAAAATGTGAGTTCTCACTTTCAGACCGAATGCTGAAGAAAGGAGCAGTGACGGCGTCATCATGAGCGCCGCAGGCTTCAAAACACGGCTGACAGACAAGTCTGAAAAATGACACTCAAAGCCCGGAGGATGTGTGTGCATGTAAGTGTCTCTGTCTGTCTGTGTTATCACTAGTATTTAAAGTGTAAGCTTTGTGTTCATCTGCTGTTTAGGTGATGAACTCAGATGGTTATTACAGCCAGCAGATACTGAATCTGAACAGACCCATCGCAGCAACATTCACAACTGTTTATACCTGACACTGTTTGAAGACTGACAAGTTGGTGGAGAAGCTGCTGCAGAGAAACAAATCTAATCTAAACTTAGGGCAGTCCAGTGTTGCCAATCTTAAATATACTTACATTTTATTTTATTAAACTATTGACACACAAATTGATGGTGACAAAAAGTACATTCATCAAACTAAATTCTTATTTTCTTCTGTTTTGAAAAGTCAACTCGCATCCAATTCTGAAAACACTTTGCGGGTACAGACTGTGTTACTCAGCCCTGCCAAACTGACAGTTTTTCTGTTTTCTCGACAGCCAGCATCACGACATTTCTCTCACTACAGCTGAAAAATATATATAGTTCAGACTTGTTTCAATAGCGTCTTTTATACTGCATTTTAAGATGATAACATTATAAATTGTGAAAGGATCAAAGCAGGCCCTGAGCTGATTGAAACCTGCCGCAAAGATTCTACTATAGACTAGAGCTCTGTCTATGATTTTGTCTTCTTTACTATCATATTGAAACGTTAGTTGCTAAATATAAAATGTATCTTGAAGAAACTGTCCCACACAGGTGACACTGTTAGCAAATAAAGGGGTAGATGTTACTATGGTCAGAAAACAGCGACAGAAACAAGTTGACTTTATTGAAGCCACATGTAGCCAATTAGAAGTTAATTATGTAGTTTGCGGGTGTCTAATGTCTTCATTAGAGGGGACAAGTTCTTTAAACTTGCTGACTGGATATATCTGTTTCATTGCTTTGTGCATTTGTGCATCTCTGTGTTTCCACCGCCTCTTGTCTTTATTAGCAGTGACTTGCTTTTCTTCTAACATGGGAATGAAATGAACAAGGGAAATCAAAATGAAATATAATCCAAGAGGTGAGGATTGACTGGAATTAAATTATGTCCTAGTATTCTCACACACACACACACACACACACTCTCACAGACGTATGCACACAAAGTGCAATCCCATCTCCAGAATGAAGGATGTATGTGTGTCACTTATTACTGTAATTTATTCAGAAGCTTAATTGAAAATTGTTATCAAAATCAATTTGGCAGCCTTTAATAAGATGAGAGCAAAGAGGCTGTGGGAGTCAGTTCCCTGGGTGGTACAAGAGAGAGACAGTGTGTGAGTGTGTGTCTGCATATTGAACACTGACTTTGAGTTTGATTCATATACAAAAGTACCTCTTGATGAAGAAAGAAAAACTCAATACCACTTGACTAGATCCGAGAAACATCATGAAACAGTATCAGAGGACTGCAGAAAAGGCGGTCTTGTAATACAATTATCACTTTTAGTCAAGCAAGAAAAGCACAACTCAGTGTTTTTTTTTAATGTTTAATGAAATAAGATCACAACAATCTTTCACCAACTTTAACCAAAAAACCTTCATTTCCTTACATTTAAATGTTTTGCCTATTAAGGAAAAGGTACGTTTTTCTGCCTTCAGCGCTGCCTTTCACCTGATGCCTCCAGTTTTGCACATCAACGTTTTATTTCACTCTTAAAGGATCGTTGGTAAACATAATCCAGGCAACAAAAAAAGGCAGTTTAGTTATATCAAGCGTGAGTTGTTGCAGACATGGTTGGTGACTATATCTTTGGTGTGTGTGTGTGTGTGTCTCCACTCACAGTAGGAGCAGCCGTACACTTCTATGCACAGACCGATCCGTCCTTCCTCGCTCCAGTCCAGCGGGACGAGCCACAGGAAGTGTGGAACGATTCCCTGCTGCAGCTCATGGCGGACTGAACTCTCTGAGTTGGAGTTCCCAGCCTGTAAACACACACACATTTAAGTTAAACACATCAAGCCTGCAGTCATACAATTAGCTTTGGGACTTAAAGCATGTGTATTTTTTCGGCTCACCACATCCTGCCCTAAGGTGCAGAGTGAGTCGTAATACATGCAAAATGAGTCTAAATATCTAATATGCCTGCCATAAGACTCTCTGACTGCAGGGAATGGAAGCAGAAACTGTCTCTTGTTTTCAGCTCACAGTACATGTCAGACACTGCCTGTTCACATCGCTTCATATTTAAGCTGATTTCGGGGACCCTGGAGATTCACTGAGGCTTGTCATGAGGTTTACAGTCCCATGCCTTCTTAGCATTGTGTTCTACACATTTACTTAGTGCAGTCTTTTAAATCACAGCCTCCAAGAAAGCATCACACTGTATTGTCTGCAAACAAAACAAATATGTACAAAACACTCCTTGGCAAAATGGTCCAATGTCTTTTGATTTATTTACTGAACTGCAGTGTGCAAAAAAAAACAACTTATGAGATACCAGATGGGACTTTGTGCAAAATCGCATCAAAACATTGTGTTCTCCTCTTTACAGAACAACCCGCCTAAAGTGGAGAAACAAAAACAAAAAAACACAAATGACACAAAATGAGTGCATAGTCAGCTAAAAACCCAAAGACAACATCATATACTAAGTGGTAGGGACTTGATTATATACCAGCCTAAAGTCTTCCATTTATCAGGTCTGCCAAATGTAATAGCCCTGGTCCACTGAAAAACAAAAGGAGCTGATTGGCTTTTTGCTGTTCTGGAATACTACAACAATACAACAATAAAAAAGTAAGATTAAAAGAGATGATAACCATTTGTTCTCCATTTATCTCATGCTATTTGAATATAAGTTGAATTGCTTAGTAGATATGGATCTCCTCTGAGGCAGATGGAGAGCCAAGATGTTTCTCTCTGAACGTTTCCAGATCCTCCTTGGGGATCCTGACCAGGGATGGGATATACAGTATAATTCCTCCAGTGTCATCCGGGATGTCATCCCAATTTGACCTTCCTATGAACAATAACATCTTATCAGATGTGCAAGCCAACTCAACTGTCCCCTTGCAATGCAAAGCTTTAGTCTACTCTAAGCTCTCTACGGATGTCTGACCTCTTCATCCTGTCGTGAAGCCTAAGCAAACCCATCTAGATTAGGCTCCTTGAATCCAAAATCTAAAACATTCAGTCTCTATACAAAGCTCATGATCGTAGGTGAGGGCTGTCACACGGCTTGAATGGTTATTATAAACCCTGCCTTCCAGGTCAGCTCCAAACTGACTGATAAATTGTTTAGGCATCGTCATGGCGATACAGAAGAAGCATCTAAAATAATAAACTGGTCAAAACAATTTGAAGAAGAAAAAAAAATCCAATCCTCTGAATCCTCCTACTCATCATATCTATTGCACATTTGTCATATACATGTCTTTCCAAATTGCCTGTGGTCCTGGCTCAGGATTTGCAGCACAAAATGTGCATACACACAACCGCCCACACACCAAAGTACCCTATATCGACCGTAAGCTCGTTTTTTGGATGGAAATAAAATATGAATCATAAAACATGCACCTCTAAGTTCTGTCTACCTAGAGACGATTTGGCTGAATTTATGACAGACTTTACCTTTTTTTGTCCAGTTGGCACTTTCTATCCCTCACCCCACGTAAAGGTACGAGAGAGAGAGACAGAAAGAGAGAGAGACGGAACAAAACTGATTTTGGCTCCACCCAAAAAGCTCAATCCCCCTGACCTGATTTTCTAGCTTCTTTCTCGGATTTCTCTTTTGTGTTCTTCCTCCTATTTGTCACTTCTCTGTGCTTGGCTGAATGAACAGCTCAATTCAAAGACATTACTATGCAGAGTGGAGGGCATGAGGCAGAATAAGGAAGAGAAAAGGAGGATGAAGAGGAGGAATGGAAAAAACTGAAGAACTCGCAAAAGTCTGCCTAATCAACCATTTCATTCCTTCTACTCAGAAGTCAAACCGTTAACCAGTAAACCAGTGAGTAATTGGGTATTTGTGTATGTGTGTGTCTCGTTAGTGCAACTGTGACCATTTATTTTGCTGTCTGTGTGTTCAAGTGTTAGGCAACTTAAGAGCTTAGACACTTTGACGTTTTGTTTAATCAAGAAGAGGGGTAATTCAAACCCATGAAGGCCACAAAGTGCCTGAGGTTACTTCTCAGTTTTAACTCAACGTGTCTGCATTTGTTTTTTTATTGATTGTGTACTTCTCTCAAAGTTCAAGCCTAAAACTGAAGTAGATTCATCGAACATTCAAATGACTTTAAATGTTTACTGCAGGATTGCATCAGAAAAAAAAAAAATAACTCTGGAGTCTTTTCTGAATTCAAACCAAAAAACATTTATATCTGTTCTGAGTGTTCTCTGGGTAGATGCATAACTTTGTAAAAAACTGATAATGATGTGTTTGAATGGTTTCATTGCTGGTAAAGTAAAATTCTGGGTGAAAATCAAAACAGTGCAGAGCTGTCATCAAATTTTAGGACTTCATGAGATCAGTGGAGGAAAAGCAATGAGGGGGAAACTAGAAAACAAAAATAATGAGGGAAGCTTGATGCCAGTGTGTCTCTTTGTAAGTTGTCTGGAACTCCAAGGCTGCCGTCATTCAAGAAAGAACAAGACATACTGTACACGGCACTACAGAAATCAATGAATGTCCCTGTTGTCTGAACTGTCTCACACACATCACCAGCCATGTACACAAGATTCCCACGCCCATTATTTACTTTTCTGTATCCTCACTCATTTTCTTTTTCTCCCAGGCTGCATTTAATTTCCTGAATGTGCATTTGCCACATTTCTCTGTGTTTGTTTGTGCATCTATCTGTGTGTACATGTGTGTAACTTTGTGTTTGTGTGTCTGTTTTGACAGACGGAGACAGGCCTTTCCGGAGAACAGATCTCCAGATACTGAGCAACAACAAGTCAAAGCTATTTTCTGGTGTTTGCTTTTTTTGGCAAGGACTCTGTTTCAGACCAGCCCAGAGTCTGTCCAATCGTTTGTGTGTGTGTGTGTGTGTGTGTGTGTGTGTGTGTGTATTTGTGTACGTGTCTCTTCCTAACAGAAGCATGGGAAATCAATCTTGGCTGGCTGGTTTTTTGTTTGTATTGACACATGTACAGAACAAAGGGCCACAGAGAGATTTGTGTTTCTGTCAGTGCTTTTGTTTGTACACACACAAAAAAATAAATGTTTTATTACTAATCAACTAATTGAATTTCCAGATGAAATTGCAATTAGCACTGCAGCTACTACAACAATCCAGCTTTCAATCATGGCATTATACCCCTTTATAAAGCATGAGATACCTAAATAACTAAACGTCTTAGGAAATTAAACACTTGGATATATACGATATAAGATACGTTAAGACCTCAATTAAATGACACAAACCATTTTATTTTTGGTTTTCTATAATGCAGACAGTCACCAGAAGTCAAGTTTATTTAGCTCCAGTTTGGGAGGCATCATGACCGCCATCTGTTTGTACAGTTCAATGATGAGAATGCGTGACACTGGCTTATTTAGGAAACAAAGTAAGTGCCAAAAGCTTATTTTACAGCTAGGTGATTGTTGTAGTTTTTTGTGTAATCACAAGAACACTGCTGGGTTTGGACATATAGTTTCAACAACCATTTAAAGAAGTTGAGTTAATGACAGATTATGAACAATTAAAAACTAATTTAAACGTCTGAAATAAACTTTCCATGAGCAAGCTTGATCGTGCCCTTAAAGTGCTCTTTGGAATACAGCAATTGGTAAGAGGCCCCTTCTGGACATGAAACATTTGAATCAATGGGAGAGATTTTTTCATGTCCGATGGCTAACCTCTTCTTGACACTTTCTCCCAGAATTAACATTTTGGAGCGTCGCTGTCAATCAAGCCTCCCACTAGAGGTTAAGACCAGAACCAAGCCCTGCTGGAGGCATGCCGGCTAAATGGATTTTTTATTTGGATTTGCACTAAACCAGACTGGCTGAATGAGGAACGTATACTGTGCCATCTTACAATTTTGATATTTTATGTAATGTGATTTAGATTTTTTTTGTGTGTGTCTACATATCTTCCATAGACTGATCCTCCTCTTATTGACGAGTTCACAAGAATCAATAAGTAAGGTTACAGGCTTTCCTCCGAAGCTTTGTATGTTTCAGGAAATGTTTAAAAGTAGATTAATTGGGTTCAGAGCTGACATCATATCTCCTGTTTTGTTTTGCCTTTTCCCCAAAATTCATAGGTAGTCTTGCCTTCTGCACCTTGAACGCGGTAAAATGAAACATTTCCAATCGTCTATTATTGTCTAAAGCTGGCACAGTTTCATTCTCTGTTGTACACCTGTAGCCATGTGCCCATGTTGTTTTCCTCAGTTCAGTCTCTCATTAACTGCCTCAACCTGCTGAGGAGCTCCAAAATACTGACTACAAGGGGAGCAAAAATCTTTTCTCTGCCCACTTCACACTTCTTTATCCAAAGAATGAGGGACACTTCCAGAAGATTTTGTGCTGATAACTTTCCATACTAAATTAGCACAAAAGTGCTCTTAAAAAACAAGGAATATATAAGCATCCAACCATTTCAGCACTTCACTAAATCATCACTGGGATTTAAAATATTCCCCTGCACTGAGTTAAATTTTACAGACAGGGAAAGACTGGAATACACACACACTCACACACTTTTAGACGGAGGGAATAGAGCTTTAAGAGCCCATTTCTCAGGCTGTGAACATTAAGCACCTTCTCACCCCTCCGCTCACAGGGGAGTAGTGCTGATTGAGTGAAGACAGCCTCACTCTGACTCTGCTAGAAAACCTCACACACCACCCAGAGCTAAGTCACCATTTTAGTGTCTGTGTGTGATCATGTTTACCACTTTACTTCACTGACTCGTTACAAGTACATGTGTGT